GTATAGTCCATTAAAGACCTCAGATCTTTTTTTTAGATAAACTGCTGTTTGATGGAAACAATATACTAATCTCCCACTCTTGTAATAGTTATTCTTTCAAAGGTATTGAAACCATTTTTGAGACCTGTTTGCAACAAGATGTAGGCTTAGTCCATTGACATCATTTCCTTTTTGCCTGAGTACAAGACAACTACAAGGAGCTACACATGTATTTAAATGCTTGGCTAGTGGACTGTAATTGGCAACTTAGAAAGGGGAGCTTCAACCAGCTAAATCAGTTTGAGGTATGCTCAGTACACATCCTGGTTAATATCCTACTGAGACGACCAAATATATTTCCTTTTTTACCTGTTGATTGACCTATAACCATACCATTTTGTACCATTGTAGAACATGAGCTACTAGGAAAGTGTCATGAGTCAGCCAAGAACACACTTTCTATCCATGCCCCTCTTATAACATAATTTGATATTATTAAATTTTATGTTATTAGATTTGACCCTATGTTCTAGATCAATTGTGCCAAACTCAAAAAAGAAAAGGTAGCTGCTAAGATGAACATAAGGATCTGTATGGGCTGCAAATTGATTTAGAAAACCACAAATTACCATTATCCATGTGTTATTGTACTTTTACTTATTTCATTAAATGTTTCCCTATTATATTTTATTCTGGTTCAGGCATGTTGCTGGCCCATGTGGCCTGAATGTTTGATACCTCTGTTCTAAACTGAATCTTAATGGTCATTCAATGTGACAACTCTAATTCCCAACTTCAGGTGAGGGTCCAAGATTATAGAACGCTTTGAATACCAGAAAAAGGCTTGAACTTTATTTGCCAAATAATAAGGAAGATTTTTGAGGAGGAAAATCACAATGAAAATACTGTTTTGGTAAGACTGGTTGAGAAGCAATGTGTAGCAGAGATTTTAATAAGGAAAGACTAACAGAGGGAGACTGTTGGGAAGTTTTCACCTGATATTAGGTAATGAGGACCTACAGTGGTGGTATGGTGAATGAAAAAGAAAAGGTATTATAAGAAAAAAAATTGATATGATTTGGTGACTTGATAAATATCGACCCCTAAGAGGAGGAAAATTATGTTTTGAGACATGGTGATGGGTGGAGGAGGGAGAATGTTGATGTAGGTTCCTTTAACAAAATAAGAGATCTAAGAAGGACGTTTTTAGGGGAAGATAAAGAATTTGTTGTGTACATTAATCTCCTCAAGCTTAATTGAAAAAAAAACAAGAGAATTAAAAAATATAAGGATTCTTTATGTTAGAAATTTCAGATATTGAAAGATAAGGCTGCCATATTCTAGAAAGAATTACATATGACACTTTGCCTGCTTGCTGTATAAATTAGTTCAGGCCTGAAGCTCATAATTTCCACTATGCTTAAGAAAACTATGCATTCAAGAAACAAAGCTTCCTGTGCTAGTAATGTGCTAAATGGTCTGGATTAATGTACCTCTGTGGGGGCTTCTCTTTGTGGGGGTCCAGCATTCATAAAGAGTAGTCTGGAGAATCTAGGTCAGAATGTACTATATCAAAAATAAGAAAGATAGCCTTTGGTTCAATGCAAATAAGCAAGGGCACTTTGAAGATCATTATAACTAAATAGGCTTGGTGTGATTGGGGTGATAGGTTGGGGGCAGATAATAACTATGTAGAAGCAGTGTTTGAAGGTTACAAACATCAATAAAAATAGGTTTATTTAGAAGAGGTGTGTCTTTTCTTGGAATCTACTAACAGAATGTACAGCCAAATCTCAACTGTAAAGCAGTTGATTGTCCAGTCTTTGAATTATTCACCAGAATCTTTTTCCTTGATTTGCTCATCAGCTAATTTATTGTCATTAGAATCTTCCATAGAGTGAGAAAGAGCAACAACTCAGTCAAGTTTGTTGATGCTTGTTATCTGCAAAGGATTTGGAAGGGAATGAGGCTGATTCTATTTTCTAAATGAGGTGAGGATTCGAATTTGTGGATTAAAAAAAAAGAAAATAATTATTAATCTAACCGTGATGCTTCATCATGTCATGAAAATTTAATGGAAAGCAGAGGGGAGGGCAAGGGCTGGCCAATAGGAGTCTCATCCTTTGACCATACATAGTGTTCTGTCTCTTGCATGCCTATGTGGAGGCTCAATATGTGTGACAGAAAGGCCCTACTCCCTAGTTCTGAGTATTCGCATGTATTGTGTTTCTTATCTGTTTATTACATGATTTTTACCTGATGAGATGGAATTATGTCTGCATACAAAAGACTCCTACTGAGGCAACTCAGTTCTCATTCCTGTATGGCTGTGTTGCAGTGAGGAGTTAAGGACTGTAGTTACTCTCTGCACTGTGGGAAGGGAGACTTAGCACCAACAGCCTACTCTCTAAACCTGGGCCAGCAGGTGGCCCATTAACATAGCCCTGCTGCTGCTTCTGTCTTCACTGTGTTTATTCTTTACTGCCTTAGATGAAGGAGCATTAGAGAAAGATTGGACTAGGGAGTGTCCTGGTTAGCTTAGAATATTTGGCAGAGTTAGCTGCTAGAGTCCCAGTGATGGGAGTCCATGCCAAAGTGTGTAGGTAACTAAGCCCAGTGAGGAACAAAGCCTTGAGCAACTTCCTTCACTTAGCCCAGAAATGAATCAACCATCAAGACACTGGTTTCTACAAATAGGGGAATAATTTTGTCCATAGGCTATGCCATATCTGGACATTAATTTGGTGGGTAAATGTTTTTAGAAACACTTTAAGTTTTAGCATATTCTCCCAAAGGTCTGAGAAAGAGTGTGCCTTCAGATGTTAGGGGGAAATGTTTTTATTTGTGTTCTTACTATATGCTTTCAGTAAATATATCTTTGAAAAAGTTAATTGATGTTACTTGGTTAAATGGTACCAATGTGCTAATCACTGTTGATTGACATTCAGAAGAATTCACTTGAAAGGAAAATAGAGGCAATATCATTAGAAAGACACTCCAACTCCCTCAGGGGTACTCATAGAACATTAAGAGGAAGATGTAGTCTTGTTAGGGGATACAACTGGGCAATGAGAGTTAACATAAGGACTCCTAAGAGTTAAGTGTGCTTCTTAAGATACAATTTTCCAGGGAAGAGGAGTTTGCATAAGGAGCCCTATGGCTTATAAGGGGTACAAAGGTGATATTTAATTCTCCAAGCTTATAGCACATGCTCTGGTAGATCCTAATGAACCAAAAAGGCTCAAAGTATATGTACAGGGACAGCAAGGTCATACAACGGATAGAGTGGCAGGCCTAGCCTGCCTCCACATAGGCATGCAAGAGACAGAACACTATGTATGGTCAAAGGATGAGACTCCTATTGGCCAGCCCTTGCCCTCCCCTCTGCTTCCCATTAAATTTTCATGACATGATAAAGCATGAAGTCTTATTGACTTATCTTCCCGAGTTCAATCTGGCCTCAGACACTTAGCAGTTGTGTGACCCTGCTCAAGTCACTTAACCCTGCTTGCCCCAGCTTATTCATCTTTAAAATGAGCTGGAGAAGGAAATGGGAAACCACTCCAGTATCTTTTCCAAGAAAATGCCAAATGGAGTTACATAGAGTCAGACATGACTCAACAACAGGTACAAAAATGGATTGTTATTCATGTATCAACCTAGTTAAGTTCAGAAAGGCCACCAAGTAATGGATTTCTTTTTCCTTTAAGCAATCCATAAAAACAAAATTTACAAAGCATGGAGGGTTGAAATTTTTATTGATAGAAAGCATTCCCATATTCCTTTTTTACCTCCTAATCAGTTCACTCGCTTACCACAGAGGCTTTTCCAAACATTTTCATCTGTACTCAAGCCTCCCCCAGTATTGCTTCCTAACCCTCTTAGTTGAATATCTCCCTTGGTGTTCACAGAAACATATTGCCCACCTCCTGATACATATGTGAGAGACTGGAGTTCAAAATACAGGAGTAAGAGTAATTAGATACCATTGCAGCAGTTCTATTAAACTGGAGAAACAAATGTTGCTTTTTCCATTGAAAAGCAGCTGGGGAAATAATTTCAAAAACCTTATTATAGAGAATAGTGGATCACCGGTCTTTGCTTGACTAAATAGGCTTATTAAGTATTTCAATATTTAATATTCACAGGGCTACCTCCCTTCCCATACTGGAAAATTCTTAAGGCTGACTGATAACCTTCATTCTAAAAACTTGTCATTAATTGCAAGATTAATGAACTTGTGATTTTTTTCTCTGATTATAGGCTACACATCTTTTAAACAAGTAATATATTAATTTTAGTTGTTTTGAAAGGTACTGAAAGGCATTTTCAGTTGGAATAATAGGAATCATGTGTCTGAGCAATGTAAATTTTTTTTTTCCTGTAACAGACTAATTTCTTAAATCTCTAAATGAATTAAAGAGACCTGCATAATAATTGGACGATTTCTTGCCATGTTATTCTATTATGACGTTTTGTTCAAGGATCCAGCTCTTTAAAAAGTAAGGCATTATTGCCCACCTGTTTCAATCTACTTCATAATTCAGAAAGATACATAAGGGGGAAGGAGCAATTGGTCATATCAGCTAAACGATCACTAGGTTCATTTTAGGCATACAAAACAGCACGCTTTGCAAATGGTATGCACGTGCAAAAACTGAAAGAGCCCTTTTGTACAGGAAATTATATTGTTGCTTTGGGGGGATTTGGGGGTGATAGTACAGAGTTCCCTAGAGAGCCAAATGACTTAATCTCAAAACTTGAGAAAGCAAAATAAATCTCTCATACCCCATCTGCTTCTTGATTCCAGGAGCAGTTGCATCCAAACCTCGTTGGCCAGGCAATTGTTGCTCCGAAATACAATCAGTATCTCCTGGACTCATGCAGTACTTCTGCTGCATTGGTTGGAGTGCAAAGAGGAGGCGGAGCAAGCCCTAGACTCCCCCTTTTTTTTCCCTCCATACACCATAAAAATCAGCTGCCGACATGCACAGCTTCTGACATTCGGCATGATGCCTGCATTTGGTAATAGCTTCTGTCAGGCTGTATTTGACATTAGCATACCAACCCTGAACTCTCTCTGTGAAACAGTAGTTACTAGGGGAAAAAAATGATTTTGAAATGCATTGAATAAATGAGGCTTAAGAAAAAGCTCAAGGGAGAAGAGGGAGAAGAAGATATGAACAACTGAAGGTCTTTGCAGCTGAGACTGAGACAGATTAAACTTCAGGACCTAAAAGTGAGTTGATGCTGAGAACTGTTCTGAACTGCATTAAAACTGTGGGAGACATGTCACTGAATGCCATTGATTTGCTACCTTGAGGGACTAGAGGAAAGTCCTCAGAAGAGACTAGAGGTTTTTAAGCAATTTCAGCAGGAGTTTGACTGAGATCTTTCCAAAATGAACTCCACACAAAATGAACTCTACTACCACGGAATACACCCCTCTTTCCACTTCTGGAACCACAGCCATGTATTGCACAGCAGTGCTAATGACTCCCTCGGCAAAGGTTACCTGGACAGGGGTTGCTACGAACAACTTTTTGTCTCCCCTGAGGTGTTTGTCACCCTAGGTATCATCAGTTTGTTGGAGAATATCCTGGTGATTGTGGCAATTGCCAAGAACAAGAATCTTCACTCTCCCATGTATTTCTTCATCTGTAGCTTGGCTGTGGCTGACATGCTGGTGAGCGTCTCCAATGGGTCAGAAACTATTGTCATCACCCTGCTAAACAGCACTGACACCGACACACAGAGTTTCACAGTGAACATTGATAATGTCATTGACTCAGTGATTTGTAGCTCTCTGCTTGCCTCTATTTGCAGCCTGCTCTCTATTGCAGTGGACAGGTACTTTACTATCTTCTATGCTCTCCAATACCATAACATCATGACAGTCAGGCGGGTTGGGATTATCATCACTTGTATATGGGCAGCTTGTACAGGGTCGGGCATATTGTTTATCATTTACTCAGACAGTAGTGCTGTCATCATTTGTCTCATTAGTATGTTCTTCACCATGCTAGCTCTCATGGCTTCTCTCTATGTCCACATGTTCCTGATGGCCCGACTTCATATTAAGAGGATTGCAGTTCTCCCTGGCACAGGCACCATCCGCCAAGGGGCCAACATGAAGGGGGCTATTACTTTGACCATCTTGATTGGGGTTTTTGTGGTCTGCTGGGCCCCTTTTTTCCTCCACCTGATTTTCTATATCTCATGTCCCCAAAACCCCTACTGTGTGTGTTTCATGTCCCACTTCAACTTTTATCTCATCCTCATCATGTGTAATTCCATCATTGATCCCCTTATCTATGCCCTTCGGAGTCAAGAATTGAGGAAAACCTTCAAGGAGATCATCTGTTGCTATGCTCTGGGAGGCCCTTGTGATTTGTCTGGCAGATATTAAAACACCTCGCAGAACTGTATTTAATCCTCCAAGGAGTTCTCTCAATAGAACCTGGACTGTGTGCTTCACAAGCAGCTGTCTATATTGTGTGTGACTTGTTCAGTGTATCATTTTAAAACAAAAACGGAACAAACTTCAGATTGTGATTTATTTTTCAATGTGAAAAAATGTGGTAGTCTCTAAGTATTTTTGTTTAAATGTCATAACTTTTGAGATGTAAAATGTTAAAAATATGCTAATTTCAGGTTCTCTGTATTTTAAAAAAAAGTACAACCTTATTTAAAACATAATATTATGCCCTTTGGGGGTATAAAAAAGAGAAATAGTTTAATCATGTAATCAATAAAGAATTCATTCACATTATTGGTGGACTCTAATCAATATTTGTTAATATTTTATTACACAATATTTTAAAGTAGTGAATTGATTTGAATAAAAGGGAAAATATTTTGAAATATGAAATCATACTAATTAGAAAGATTAACCCCATCACAGAAAGAATGAGTGATGTAAGAAGAGCTTTCTCCTTCCACTTCTGTAGAAGTGGCAGTAAAGTTGATTTTCTTTTTAACGAGAGTTTTCTAAATAAGACTACCCAGGAAAAGAAGTACAAGGATCTTTTAAGTCCCAAAACAACAGGTCTTTTAAAAGATGGAAGAGATGCATCTGTTTAAGTGCATGCTTTCATTTCTTCAACAAAATTGTCTGATTGTGAAGCAGCTGACTAGTGTTTTGGAGTCTGAATGCTCCTGGGAACCAAAGGTATGCCAATTCAAACTCTTTTATGCTCCATTTCTGCATCCAGCTAAGGAAAGGAGAGACTCTGGTTTCTGATTTTATTTAATGTAGGAGAGAATATTCTGCAGAGCTGACTAAAAAAAAGGCGGAGGGGGTTTCAAGCATAGCAATTTGCCTATTTCTCCATCACATACTAAGTGTCAATATCAATTCCTGTAAAACATAATAATAAGCAAGCAGCTTGGTGTTCTCTAACATCATACCACTGTGGGTTGGAGGTAAATTACTGAAAGCTGAAAAGGTTTACTGAAAGGTTCTTGGCAAAGTCTTCATCCCCAGAATGACCATGTTACAGCAACATTTGTCTGAATTTAAAAGTAGGTGACCTGTTGTGGATCCATTTGCTCACTGATGAATACAACCCCAGAATCTGCAAAGGGGCTTCGATGAGCATAATTGCTTATTACCCTCACTTTGAAGAGTGTGTAACTTTAACTCTGGGGGGATTATATCTGGGACAAAGATGACACAAACACAAAATCTTCCCAACTTTTCCAAAGCAGGAATACTTACTTAGCCTTTCTGTGTATCATGGATTCCTTTGGCAGTCTGATAAAGCCTATGGATCCTTCTCTGGATAATATTTTTAAATGCATAAAATATACAGAGTTACTAAGGGAAATAACATTAAATTTTGTGTATCAAAATATATTTTTTAGAAATATAAATTCACATAACACAGGTTAAGAACCCTTGTTCTTATTGTATTGTACTTCTACCCTTTTGGGGAAACTGATGAGCCTCGCAAATAAGAGGAGACAATATTGGATGAAGGTTGCTCAAAAAACAATTTTGTAATTCATTTCAGACTATGTTAAAATTTTAATAGATGAAGTAAAATATACAAAAGCACATTTGAAATCACTGCATCATTTTAACTGAAACCAATTTTTTTTTACATTTCAATATTTAGGTATGGGATGAAGTTTTAATAGTGATGCATGTGGATTAAAAATGGAAAGTTATAGTTGGGTTCAAGTTTTTAGCTAAAATTTATTTTGTGCCTGGAGCCTAGTTTCTATGGAATTTTTCTATATTTGGAGCACAATGAAATTTGTGGATTTAAATATAGAATAGCAATGGAATCTTAGTTAAAGCTGTATGTGAAATAAAAGTGTTGATATGGCATTGTGACCATTCATTTGGGTGTCTTAATTTAATATCTATGAGAAATTCCTGGGGCCTAAGGTGGAGACAGACAATATAAAATAATATTCCACATCTTTAGTGGAAACTGATTCTGCTTTGGTAATTCTGAAAGCCTCTGTCTCTGTCTCTGTCTCTCTCCTCTCCTCTTTTCTCCTCTCCTCTTTTCTCTTCACATCTGTCTTTCCAGTATCCTCCTCCTCCTCCTCCTCCTCTTCCTCCTCCTCCTTCTTCTTCTTCTCCTTCTTCTTCTTCTTCTCCTTCTTCTTCTCTTCTTCTTCTTCTTCTTCTTCTTCTTCTTCTTCTTCTTCTTCTTCTTCTTCTTCTTCTTCTTCTTCTTCTCCTTCTTTCTTGTCTTCCTGTCTTTCTCCCTCTCACTCTCTCCTTTTCCCCACAGTTACACAGGCAATCTTGAGGAATAAGTCTTCTCTTATTCATTATGTATTCCTTTCTTGCTTAACTGAGGAACAAAAACGTCTATGAATTTTGGCTCGATTCACAGGAGGGAAGATGGTATTCTGGAACTAATGTGACAGTAGGAGACTAGAGGCTGAAGCAGTCAGGGCTGGGGCCAGGGCAAAGGCAGAAAATTAAGACAAAGTTATACAACTTCAGGAGGTGATGAAGCCCCAATTTCTAACACCCTTATTGGAGTAAGAAAAATGCTTTCAAAAAATAAATGGGATGGATGGGAGATGGTGTTGCAAAAAACCACTGATGGACATCTGCTGTGAAAAGTGTTGGTAAAGCCAGGCACCTTGCTAAATGCAAAATACAGAGAAAAATATGATTACTTACCTCTAGGACCTTAAACTTTAATGAGGAAGACAACATGTAAATAAATAGCAAGGTACATTCAAGTTGTATGCGGAGTAGTTGGGAAGTAATCTGAGAGGGAAAGGCACTTGCAACTGGGGGAATAGGAAATATCTTCGGTAGAAGGTGAGGAGTCTTAAAGGAAGCCACTGAAACTAACAGGCAGAGGTGAGGGGGCAGAGCATTCCAAGCACAAGGGAGAGCCAATGCAGAAGCAAGCAGAAGGAGAATGTAATGAAATGTGAGATCAGGAGTCTTAACCTTGGAGCAGTGAATATATATAAATATGCACATGCATATGTTCATATTTATATATTCTATGTATGTATATCACATATATTATATACTTTTATATATTTAGATTTATCACTATGCATACAAAAAAAGGTTGGAGGTACTCTGCTAGAAGTATCCTATCATGGATTTGAATCCAGAGTCAGGGATTCAAATTCCCAACTCTGCAACTATGTCACTTGCTACACATGAACAAGTCATGTCAACTCTCTGGATCTCAGTTTCCTCCTTTCGTGAAATTAAAGGGTCGGACTCACTAAATGATCAAGAGGCGTCTTTCCATCTTGAAAACTATGATTTGGTGATCATGATAAAGTTTGAAAAGGATTTCCTGTTATGCCCCATCATCACCTCAGTGAACTCAGCTAAGTCACCACATATGCTTCAGTTATGGGGGAGGGGGGGATGAAGAAAACATGGCTTTATTTCCTGTAACAACAGCAAGCTGTGGTTACGCTGGGGGAAGGAAATCACCAATACAAAGTGGCCCAAGGTAAGCTTGAATTGTGTCTGGTTTAGGGATAGTCTGAGACCCTCAGTTTGGGGCCAAGTTGAAAGTAGATTTCAGGAGTTTAGAATTTCACTGTGCTCCTTTTGGAGTGCAATGGAAAATTGTTCATTGTTATTTCAGCTATAAAAGTATCCCTAGCAGTCTCCCTAGATTCATTAACAGGACAAGTAGGGAGTATTTTTAGGAAATCATTCCTAGTCCTTTCCCCCATACTTGATATTCTGATTAGCCAGATTACATTTTATTGGAATGCTATTGGTTTGTATATACAAATTCTTACCCCACCCCACAGAAAGGTATCCCCAAAAGTTTATGCCACTTCCAACATTCTATCCTTTAGTGACCTCAGTTGTTCCCAGGGGCTGAATTACCATGTCTATAGAGATAACTTTCAAATGTAAATATCCATTCCTAATCTTTCTCTGAAACTCAACTCCTCAACCTCCAATTGCTTGATGAATGTTTCTGCTGGGATAACTCATCAGAATCCCAAATTCTCTATGCTGAAAAGAGAGCTTATTATCCCCTTCCTTGCCCTAAAACCTAACCCTCTACCTTTCTTTCCTGTTCCTGTTAAGGTCACCAACACCTTCCCAATCATACAAAGCTTCATCTTTAATTCCCACCCCCATGTCCAATCAGTTTCCAAGTCCTACAAGTTTTACATCCACAACCTCTCTCAAATCTTCTTACCACTCACATCATTTTAATAGTTTAATCCCTCAGAGTCTTTTGTTGGATTATTTTGTTGGAGTCTAATTGACTCCCTGTTTCCAATACAATCTTCCCTTCTCCAATTCAATCTTTATATGGTTGCCCAAATAACCTTCACTAACAACTCTCACCACATCATGCTTCCCTTCAAAAAACATCAGTAGCTCTCTGTTGCTGGAGGATAAAATGAAAACTACTCTGCCTTATATAATCTGGCCACAAGCTACCTCTCTTCAGCCTTGTTTTTCATTACTCCCATTCACATATTCATCTACCACCTCCAGATAGTCTCACAACTTTTCTTTCATGTCTAGAATGTGCTACTGCCTAATCTCTACTTTTTAGAATCTTTCTTCAGGGATAAGCTTCTATGTTACTTTCCTGAGGAAGCCTTCCTGGCCTGTCCCCATCACTATTCCTTAGCTCCTTGAAGGTAGAAATTATTTTGTTTCTCTTGGTATATATCCAACATCTAGTACAGTGCTTACTGGGTTTAAATTCTACCTCAGACACTTAAAACCAGTGTAACACTGGGCTAGTCACTTTACCTACCTGGGCCTCAGTTTACTTATGTGTAGAATGGGGGGGAGGGGTTGAACAAGGTGAACTCTAAGGTACTTTTCAGCTACACTCTGAAAAAAAATTTAATTGTTTTATGGATATTACTTTTGTCATTTTAAATAGGTAAATATACATCAGAGAGAACTGGTATTGTAGATAAAATGTGTGAATTTATATTAGAGGCAACTGGGATGGTAGATAAAATTTGTAACAAAAAGACCTTAGTTCAGGTTCTGCCACTGACAAACACCAGTTTTATGATTATGGTCAAGTCCCTTACCTTCTTCTTCCTCCTCTCTCTCCCTTCCTCTACCCCAAACTCTCTAGAACTAGAAGTTATAGACAAGACGTAGATCTGCCACTACTTGATAAATCACAAATCTGTACTCCTTCCCCACAAAAAATATCTTAATTCAGTACCTATTACTTTTATGCTTCTCTACTTACTTTCCTGTCCTCACCACACCCCATT